CTGGGTCGGCCGGGGGGGATGGCTGCAGGAGGTTGGGGGGGTCCAATCGGAGACCCGATTGGGCAAGTTGGCTGCCACAGTGCACATCATAGCGACCAGTCATTCTGGTCATTCCGTCACTCCGGTCGCTTGGCTTTTTTATATATATAGATAGCCAGTGTTTGCTGAGCACTGACTGTATGCCAGGAACTGGAATACACCTCTGAGTGCTGGCAGGGCCCGCATTTCATGCAGATTAACACTGTCAGCCATGTCATCGGTTGGTGAGCTCCGGAGCATAGCACCTGTATCACTCTGGACTGTCAGCATTTACACTTCTGCTCACATGGGTCTCAGGAGATGAATGGCACAGGTGGCATTGCCCTGGAAACTGAAGTAATGTGCCCATCGGAAGCCCCCGTGTGGACAGCTGTCTGTGGCTGAGTGCCCCTGCTCAGCGGGGTCCTTGTGAAGGACGCACTCACGGGAAGGATGATGCTCTGTGGAATGTGTGACATGTCTCATCACACAGGAGACCCTAACAGCTGATGGCTGAATGGACGGAAAAGACACACCCCTGGCCAAGGTCACAGTGTGCCTGCCAAATGGGCTGGTCTCTGTTAGGCTCGGCCTGTGTCAGGGCTCAGTCAGTTTATTCTCCCCTCATTCCCGCAGCCCCTTTGAGGTGGATGTGGGCCACCCATTTTACAGATGGAAGAGTGGGCCCTAAAACTTGTTTCCAGCTCCCAGGCCTATAAGCAGAGCTTCAACCAGGCCTGGCAGCCCTCAGGGTGTGTTCCTCCCCTTTTCCTGCCGTGCTGGCGGGCCATCGTGGGTGAGGAAGCTGGGCCAGCGGGAGGAGATGCAGCTCTGAGTCCAAGGGCACCGGGTTCCTTTGATGCACAGTGAGGTAGTGACACTCAGGACGGGTCCAGGCTACACACTGCTCGAATCACCACTGCTCCGCAGGGCAGGGAGGCTGTGGCGGGAGCTGCAGCAGCTAGCATCGCCTCCCAGCTCGTGCACACCCTTCCAGGACAGCAGCTTTTAGGGGAAAATTCAAAACTACCTGTGGACTAATGTAAAAAAAAAAAAATAACCCGAAAGAAGAATGAATCTGGTGGGGTTCTATGTCTTTGGCATGTTTTAATTGTTTCATAAGTTATTTTTTAATACATAATGACATATCCACTTTTAAGTATAAATCATTGTTTTCTCTCCCAGATGGTATGTGGATATATTTTTCTCTGAATCAATATAAGGATTGAGAATATAAACAAGTTAAATACAAGTAGGAATAATCTTTGTATAGTTTCTCTTTTCCAAAGAATTCTCTTCTGAGTCTCTCTTAATGGAATGTGCTAATGTATTCAAAATAGAATTTGATTTCCCAGAAAAAAAAGTCTATGGCACGTGTCCATCTTAGAGACACAGAGAGACACTCCCTTGGGTTTCCTTCAGGGGATGGGTGAGATGGAAGTGAGATCAAGGGCACAGACGCTCTATCCACTGAGCCAAACAGGTCAGGGCAAGGGCACAGCATCTTTTGTGAATACTTTTAACTTGTCAGAGAGGCATTAAATGGTGGCTCTGTGTGCACTGGGTGTGGTGGGTTTGTAAATGTGGGGACTTCTCCGGTGGGTGTGGCCAGCTCACCGCCCTGCAGAGCCTGATGTTGCAGATGTGTGGCCCACCCACTGGGCAGGGTCAGCAAACAGGCCGCCATTCATAACACCAGACCAGCAGAGCAGAGGCACAAGCACTGATGGTCATCTAGCCCGTGTCTGAGGAAGTGGCTTTGTTTTACTCTCAGGCATCAAAATACTTAAAAAGTAACACAGTCGGTATGTTCCTTATATTTTAGTTTTTAAAAAGCACTCAGCAAGCAGCTGAAAAAAGTCAAGGGTTCTTTTGGTAGCATTCACACCCTGGGGTCAGACCCTTGTGGCCTGGACCTGCCCAGCTCTGCTGCCTGCTAGCTGGGCACCCGCCCTCCGTGCCTGCTGCCCTCCTAGGAAGTGTGCCCTCCTGGCCGGGACGTGAGCTTAGCCTGCTGTGTAGCAACACTCAGGCCAGGTGGTTACGACCCAGCGAAGCAGGGCTGTTGGGGGAGATTGCTAGGCAGACAGGTGCTGCTGTCCCTGACAGGTGTGGCCTCTTTCTTCCAGGACACCAAGTGGGAATTGCATGCCCCAGAGCCTTGCTCAGCAAAGGGAGCTCTGCATTCTGTGAGGGCCTCTTCCTGCCCAGGTGGGGAGCAGAGCCCATCAGATGTGGGTGCTTCTGCCTCAGGGCTGCGTGGCTCTGTCCTTCTGAGGGGCCTGAGGAAGACTAAGAAAGTGTCAGAGAGTTGGCCTGCTGGCCTGGGAGTACCTTCCCATTAGTTCTGTCCTGTCCCCACAGGTAGAGATGCCCGGGGGCCTCTCTCAGGACAGGCTGTCCACACAGTGGAGGGCGGTCCTCTCCTGTGAGCGCCGCTCTCCCTGCGCGCTGCTTCTCTGTCCCACCCCGCACCTTCCGTCAGTGAAGATAGTGACCACAGTCACACTGTGTCTTCAGGGCTGAAGCAGGCTTGCCAGGCAATGGCCACATAGGGGAACTGTAGGAGACTGTTGAATCCCTGCTGGTAACATCTCTGTCCCTGGAGTTGTTGGGGAGAGAGGAAGCCCTGTCCCTTCATTGCACCACCTGCCTCCCCAGCCCCTCACCCCTCCGGCTGAGTCAGATGCAGAAAAGAGGCATTCGGATGCCCCTTTCCCATCTGGGGTTGTATAGTACCCCAGTCCACTGTTTCCCACCCCCAGGCATTAAAGGGCTCCTGGGCTCCTGGTGGAAATGTTTCTGAGATACTTTACATGGGGTTCCCATTGCACCAAGATTTAATAATCAAAGAAAGAGGTCAAAGTTCAAGGGTAGATACCAGGTTTAGAGCTGTCACTTGGAAATAGACAGGAATGATGGCCGTTTCAAAGCAGATTTGTGTGTTTTCTTTAAACTCGGTAGATGGATATTACTGTTCCCATTCCAGAGATTAACGATCTGAAATCTGGGCATCTCAAGTGCCTTCCCAGGAATGTGCAGCTGGTGAGGGCCAAGACCTCCCCGGGCCTCGGGGCTCCCCCAGGCATTCCAGACGCTGCTCCCTGTGTGTGCCTCAGATGCTGGCCCACTGCTGTTATGTCGGGTGACTCACTCTGGCGGAGTTATGCTGGCCCTTGATAAACCTCTTGAGGCTTGGAGACATGAGTGAGTGAGTGAGTGACTGAGTCACCCCACCTCGGACAAGACCATGGGCACAGTGAAACCAGCCCCTGTCCGGCCGTGTGGCACAGGCCCTCCTCCTCGCCGGGGTGAAACATGCACCGCTTAGTAGTCAGCAGACTCCCTGGCAAGTGGGGTGCTGAGTGCAAGTCAGCTTGTGTTGCTCACTGGTCCTTCAGAGGAGGGTCTCCTTAAAAGAGACATGGTGCCTGGTTTTCTACCCTGGGAAGCAGGCTTTGGGTCACTGGCCTTTCCTCAGATGGGGAGTAATTGTACCTTCCTCCAGGATGTGGGTGCCACCACACAACCTCCCTCAGCAGCACGTGGGTGCCTGCTGACTCTCCACCATCCTGCACAGGGCACCGCAGGAGGAACCCCAGGGGCTGCGTGTCAGGTGGCTAATGAGCTGCACGCGGCGGCACCGGTGCCTCTGTCCTGACGCTGCATAGGAAGAGCCAGTGCACGAGCGGGGAGCAGGGCTCAACTGGGGGAGCCTGGGTTTGTGCTGATTTGATTTGGAAAGTGAGACTTAATATGGAGCTAGTCTTGGTGCACACTGGGCTTGAGAGCCAGAGTTGTTGAAAAATCATGTGACCATCTCTGCAGCTGCACCTGTCCCAGGCGTTGTCCTGTGCTACCTGAGGTGACGATCCAAATGGGACAGTCAAAACAAGCAGCTCCCTTATGGGTGGCCAGGTGGTGTCTGCAGAACTCTGCTTTTAAGGAGCCGTGTTCTGGAACGTGCCTGAGGAAAAGGAAGGCCGAGGACGGAAGTGTTGCATTTGCTGCAACCCTTATAAGCCCATTGACCCTCCTGCCAAGCATGTGGATGTGACTGTTTTTCTGGTCTCTTCCTAGAATGAAGCCACATTTATCCCCTTCTGATTCTTTCCTCATCTTAACAATGAAACACAAGTCGATTCTTCTGAGTTATTTTCTGTTGAGTTCAACACCTCTGTCCCTGCCTCCTTCCTCCCTTCCCCCATATTTTTTGAAATATTCTCTGTTCAGTAGAGAAAAGGGCTGATTTCAAATTCCTAGACCAAGTATAACAGCTCAGTCCTAAGAATCTGAAAAGCCATGTGAAAGTGTTTTAATTATTATGTATTGCTGGAGGAGTTCGCAGAAATATAGTGGGCCCTTGGGACCCTTTTAGGAAACTTGGGTTCCTAAAAGTTAACTGTGTGCTGGGTCCATCATTCCCAACCATGTCCTGTCTCAGCACATGTAGAAGCAGCACACCAGGGACCTGGGTGAGGCGCTGTGGGCAGATGTGGCCAGTGGGTGGGACATAGGTGAGGCGCTGTGGGCAGCTGGGTGGGACATAGGTGAGGCGCTGTGGGCAGATGTGGCCAGTGGGTGGGACATAGGTGAGGCGCTGTGGGCAGCTGGGTGGGACATAGGTGAGGCGCTGTGGGCAGATGTGGCCAGTGGGTGGGGCATAGGTGAGGCGCTATGGGCAGATGTGGCCAGTGGGTGGGACATAGGTGAGGCGCTGTGGGCAGATGTGTGCTGCTTCTACATGTGCTGGCCAGTGGGTGGGGCATAGGTGAGGTGCTGTGGGCAGATGTGGCCAGTGGGTGGGACATAGGTGAGGTGCTATGGGCAGGTGGCCAGTGTGGGTGGGACATAGGTGAGGCACTATGGGCAGGTGGCCAGTGGGTGGGACATAGGTGAGGCGCTATGGGCAGGTGGCCAGTGGGTGGGACATAGGTGAGGCGCTATGGGCAGGTGGCCAGCCGGGGGGCTCCAGCCTCTTTGAGGTCTGACGTGGGCCCTTGGGACCCTGCAGCTGATTGCTTTTAGCTCACTCTCCTGGGGTGGAATTCTGTGCTGCACAGCCTCATTAGCTAAGGGTCTGTTTGGCTCCCAGCTTGTGCCAGGTATAAGGTGGTAAAATAAGAGAAGGAAAAACTATTTCAACCAGTAGTGACAATAGCAGCACTTAAGTATCACTGGGCTTGTGCTGAGGGCAACACAGGCTTCATGGTGCAGGTGCCCAAAGAGAGTGTTCACACTGCGGCCGTGGATGAGATGTGGGATATGTCTGACTTTCTTTGGTGTGACTGTGTAGTCTTCAAGTGTGTGTACTTCAAGCACACTGCACGTGATAAAAACAAAACAGCCATTTTCACTTGGAGTGAAAAGCAGACCGTTTCTGACATGTTTATGTGCAGGGCACTGGGCATGCAAAGCCTCCCAGCAGCCGTGGAGCTAAGCCATCTCCCTCTGCTCCCTGTTCCAGGAGGGCGTCGAAGTGCGAGTGGCCAGGATCTTCAACACCTTTGGGCCACGCATGCACATGAACGACGGGCGGGTGGTCAGCAACTTCATCCTGCAGGCGCTCCAGGGGGAGCCGCTCACGGTAGGTGCCTGCTCAAGTGATGAGTGCGCGCTGGGTCAGGGGTCAGGGGTCAGGGTCCTGACACTGCTGCTTGGGGTTTCTGTACGTCCCGGCACCCCTAGTGGCTGGGAGGGAAGGCGCATGCATAGGATCCGGGAGAGGGATGACCAGTGTGACCTGGGTCACCTTGCTTTCTAAGCCTGCCGAGAACATGGAGCATGGGCCGCGGGCGTGGTCCACACTGCCCAGGCCTCGGGGCCTGTCTGCTGTGCCGGCCTGCCTGCAAAGACCTTCCCAGATGCTTGCTTGTCCCACTGGCTATAGCCAGGGTTGTGTCTGTGCTCAGGGGCCGCTCAGGTGGCCGAGAAATGGACATTTGTCTGGTTGGTTTGGGCACTTTTCTCTGACAGGGTCTCTCCACCCGGGAAGCTTCGAGCCTGGGGCCACCTGGTGGGTTGGGGTCAGTGGTCCGAGTGTGTGGCAAGGAGGAGGCCCTGCTGCTCAATGCCCTCAGACACCCCCTCAGCCTGCTGGGCCAGGGGTTTGCTGGTTAAGTTAGGGTGGTTTTCTCCGGTTTTGCCAAATCCTCAGTTCCCTCCTCTCTCCTCTTCCTGCTTCTCTTTCCTCCTGCCTTTCCCAATCCTCTCCCTGCTTTCCCACCTCCATTTCTTTACTCTTCACTCTGAAGCTCTGTGAGAGCTCAGTGCTTGGTGGGACTCCGAAAGTTCTGCAGGGCCGTTTGCTTGTCAGCTAAGTGTGTTCCTGGGGGAATATGGCTGTATGGACATACGAATCCATCTGTCCATTCGTCCGTCTTCCTTTCTCTGCTGTCTACTAATAGAGTCAGTTACTGTGTCTGTTCTTTGATCTTTACCTGTTAATTCATTTAGTGCTCACAACAGATCCCTGGGGTGCAGGCGACTTACTGTGCCTGGTTTCCAGATGGGGAAATAGCAGCACAGAGATTAGATAAGGTGCCCAAGCCTACGTGGCCAAATGTTGGCAGCTGTGTTTGAACCCAGAGTCTCCGCTCTTGATCACCGTTCTTAGGTGTGTTTGCTGTACCGCCACCAATTTAGAACCAAAAGCTTTGCCAAATTAGAACCAAAAAAATGATGTGGCTTTTCCAGGTGAGTTTTGTTTAACACATTGTAGGAAGAGGTGCTCCGGTTTTGCCAAATCCTCAGTTCCCTCCTCTCTCCTCTTCCTGCTTCTCTTTCCTCCTGCCTTTCCCAATCCTCTCCCTGCTTTCCCACCTCCATTTCTTTACTCTTCACTCTGAAGCTCTGTGAGAGCTCAGTGCTTGGTGGGACTCCGAAAGTTCTGCAGGGCCGTTTGCTTGTCAGCTAAGTGTGTTCCTGGGGGAATATGGCTGTATGGACATACGAATCCATCTGTCCATTCGTCCGTCTTCCTTTCTCTGCTGTCTACTAATAGAGTCAGTTACTGTGTCTGTTCTTTGATCTTTACCTGTTAATTCATTTAGTGCTCACAACAGATCCCTGGGGTGCAGGCGACTTACTGTGCCTGGTTTCCAGATGGGGAAATAGCAGCACAGAGATTAGATAAGGTGCCCAAGCCTACGTGGCCAAATGTTGGCAGCTGTGTTTGAACCCAGAGTCTCCGCTCTTGATCACCGTTCTTAGGTGTGTTTGCTGTACCGCCACCAATTTAGAACCAAAAGCTTTGCCAAATTAGAACCAAAAAATGATGTGGCTTTTCCAGGTGAGTTTTGTTTAACACATTGTAGGGAAGAGGTGAACTCAGACCCCAGCTCGAGGTGTGGACACCCCAGCGCGCCGCCTCCCCTCCACGCTCAGTACGCACCAGCTCTGTCTGCGTTGGTGTCTGAGGACAGGCACACTGGTCACGCACACTCAGTCTTCTCTCCCTCACACCATGTGGGACCCACCGCACACCCTAGTGGCCTTGCCCTAAGTGGATCCAGGCGCCTTCTCACCTCTTCTCCCACTGCCCTGGTCCATGCCTCCTCCGGCTCCCATTTTATTGCTGTGGCCCTTAAACACTCTCGACCCAGCAGCCAGAGGGAGCCTCAGATGAGAAGTCGGGAGCTCCAGCCTGTGTGCCCGCGGGAGCTGGACGCGGCTGCCGCCAGGACTGCAGGTGGTCTCTTGACACCTCCTGGCAGGCGCAGGGTCCCCAGGGCCTTTCAGAACGTGCCTGTTTCCTGTCACAATATTAACTTCGAAGATCACTGGCCAGTGGCTCAGTTGCTTGGAGCATCGTCCTGTGCACCAAAGGGTTGCAGGTTCAATTCTCCGTCAGGGCACATACCTGGGTCGTGGGTTAGATCCCCGGTAGGAACACATGTGGAAGACAGCCGGTCGATATTTCTCTCTCTTTCCCTCCTTCCCTCTTTCCCTCCCTTCTTCTGTCTTTAAAAATCATTAAAATCATATCCTCAGGTGAAGATTACAAAAAAAAAATCACTATTACAGATAACTGGAACATATAATGATAAAGAAAAAGTTTGTAACAGACACAGTGAGCCGATGCTGTTGGGAATGGCACTGATAGATGTTCAGGGTGCCACATACCTACAGTGTGTAAAGGTGCAGGGCAGTGGAGCGCAATCCGAGCAGGCAGCCTTCTGCAGTACCTGTGGGGCACGGTGAAACACGCATGCCTGTCTGCAGTACCTGCGGGGCACGGTGAAACACGCTGCCTGTCTGCAGTACCTGCGGGACACGGTGAAACACGCATGCCTGTCTGCAGTACCTGCGGGACACGGTGAAACACGCTGCCTGTCTGCAGTACCTGCGGGGCACGGTGAAACACGCTGCCTGTCTGCTTATTGCCAAGTTGTGTGAGTCACACACGGGAGCTGCTTATTGAGCTTTAAGCTTATCTTGAAGAGACTTTAGTTCGCAGTTCAGTTAAAACATGGAAACATGCAAATGCCGTCAGAGCAGGGTTGATTCTGCTGTGCCGCCTGGCTGTGTTTGTTTAGGTTGCAGGTGAGGAGAGAGCTTCACTGAGGTGGTTTTCCCAGGACAGCCCACGTGGGGCAGACATAGGGTTTGAACCTGGGTCTCTGTCATTTTAAAACCCTTGCTTTTTCCAAAGGAAATTATGGGGAAGCATACTTCTAAGACCAGTCCAAAGTTAGCATTTTATTTACTCCTCATATGGATACCTTGGTCTGTAAGTGACTCCTAACTTGGGCCCTTCGTCCATGCACAGATGAGAAGCGCTTAGGCACTGGAGGCCCGGCGTGGGGTGGTGCCGTGCTCCCTGTGCTCTCCCGCGGGTGCTCCCCCTGGCCTGTGCGCAGCGGCCTGACTCCGTCTGGGAACCCCTGAGTGACCAGGCTGCTGTGACCTGCACACAGTGCTTAGTTCCCAGGCCTTGTTGTTTTGCCCACATTCACTGAGCTCTTCGCTGTGCTGGGCTGTAGTGGGGCAAAGGTGGGTTGGCCCCGATTGCTGGCCCAGGGAGCTCAGCCGGGGAAATTGGTATGAATCGATTAGCGGAGGAGTGTCCCAGAAAGAGCAGAGCAGGGACTTCTCTCCTGAGAATGAGCCAGAGGCGGTGTCCCAAGAAAGTGGCATCCGAGCTGGTCCCTGATGTGAGGAGCACTGTGCCAGGTGCAAAGCAGGTGCGAGGCAGAGACATGGCAGCATCCAGTGGACAGGAACGGAGCGTGAGACCCCCTCCCCCCCACCTCCTCTGGCTCTACCCAGAGTCGCCTGGGTGATTCTCAGCCTTGGCCACAATTGGGATGACCTAGGAACTAGTTGTAAACACACCTACGCTGGGTCCTGGCAGAGGCTCTGTGTCCTGGCCTGACCGAGCCCAGCTTCCGGACGGGCAGCCCAGTGGAGGACTAGGTGGGCGGCCTGAGTGCTGTGTGCATGCAGGTTTCTCGCCTGCTGGCTCCTGTCCCAGAACCTGACATACTCCCTGGCACGTCACAGGCCTGATGACAGGGGACGCCTTCCGAGGATGTCTTTTGAGGAAGAACTTCATGCGTGTGAATACACACATGCATACATATTTCTGCCCCCTTCTCACTGTTGGGCAGTGTTGAAGCACCCACACGAGGCCTAACTGTCTGTTTCCTCCTAGGTGTACGGATCTGGGTCACAGACCAGGGCCTTCCAGTACGTCAGGTAAGACAGCGGGGCCAG